GCACATCTCTGCTTCATGGTAAGACCAATTCACCCTCGAGTCAATTCCAAGGTATCTGACAAATATCCTCAGGCACTGAACCCAGTCGACGCATCTCTCATCGGCGTTATAGTGTGCAAGCTGGAAGTCCATGCTTCACACTCCAACCCCACTCGAAGAGGCTACATCGCCATGTTGGCCGTTGCTTCTGACTTCCGTGGCCATGGTATTGCAACAACCCTCGTCAAGAAGGCCATCGACGCCATGACCAAGCGCAATGCGGACGAAATTGTCCTCGAGACTGAAGAGACCAACGTCGCTGCTATGCGATTGTACGAACAGCTCGGTTTTTTACGCACTAAGAAGCTACACCGATACTACCTCAATGGCAACAGTGCATATCGACTTGTTCTGCCCCTTAAGTACATCGACCTTGACGCCAGCGCTAATGGTCTTGAAATCATCGATGTATAAGCTTTCACGGTTACATGGGCTTTTATAGTATTTTCACGGGGTTCAGTGATTGGAAGTCATTGATGGGCAAGGACAGACACAGTGGGCATAGGTCAGCGACAGCATTTGGGCGTCATGCGGAATTAGCATCTCTTGGAATCATGGGCGTTTAGGATATTGGTTATGAAGGTCATGACGATACGATCCTGTTCTTTTTCGTTTCTCTCCATATTATGCACTCGGATTCTTGATTTTGATCCTCCATACACGATGGAACATTCCCCCTTGTTCTGCCAGGCTAGATGAGTCATTTGTTGTGCGTCTTTAGGTCTGGAAGATGTCAGATGACTTATAGATCGACGCTTTCAGACCCCAGGGATTCCCAAACGATATCCCTATGTACGTATATGCATCTATCGACTTGCGTCAGCCTCACTTTATTGACATCAATATGAAACCATGACTCACCTGGCTTATAGTAGATAGGTCTTCCTCGAGCTTCAACCAATCTGAGCTCTCGAAGCTTTTGAAGTACCCTGCCAACATCGGCCTTGTCTGCGAAATCGGTCGTGTACACGCAGATGAGTCGATCTTTTCGAGAATCCTCTTCGGCTGGTCTTGGAGCAACCTTTGCGGCAATGCCAAGCTCGTTTCTGGCAGTCGCTTTCGCGACAATCTCCCACACGTCGTTTACTTCTGCTGGTGTGCAAAATAACATCCACTGTTGAGGGTCAGTGGTGTTTAGGCGAGACATCCTCAGATACAAACCTTGCCAGCGCGGACTTTGGCGGCGTGCGCCAGGTGCAGTATATCATCCGAGGCTTTCTTGATTTCTTTTTGAATCTCCCGCTCTTGTGTTGCAAGAACCTTGTTGGTTTTCTTCAGTCCGTCCTTGAACTTGGAGAGAAGTTCTAGTCTCTCCAAGCCACCTTCTATGACAAGCGCAGTCTTGCTGCCTTCTTCCTCGGGAGCCTCATCTTCGTTACCTTTACTAAGTTGGTTCTGCCCCATAGACTTCTCGACTCGGGGGATATACGGATTGCAAATAAAGATCCAAGGCGTATCCTCTGTAATGTCTGTTGTCCTGGGTGGGAGACGTGCGAGGAACTGATCTACCGTCTCGGTAAGCTGCCATGCATAATCTACCCCAGCATAGGGATTGTGAAGATGCGATGTTTCGCGAACGGTGCTCGTGTCAGGAATAGGTCTTCCAGGGCTTTGCTGTTGCTCGAGCATCCAACTCTGAACATCAAAGCGTTGTACACGGTTGTTAAGGTCCATGACCATATCATCATCCCCTAAACTGTAAGCTAATGAGAGGTTGATAAAACGGTGGGACGTACCGTAGAAGTCAGAATCATCGGAATATTCCATGACGTTGATTCAAGTTGAGCTTGAGGAGGATATAGTTGGAACAAACCAGATCCTTGAGTTAATCGGCAATGGCGTGGGAACTGTTGGTTTTGTAGACAAGGGTACAAGCTGCGCAACAAGCAGAAATCAAGGGCGAAAGTGCTGTAAACATAAGAAACAGAACCACCGCCTCAGCCGTCCTATCCGTCAAAAATTCAAGTCATCAATGAGAAAATACGCGTGTTGACGTAAGGAGAGGAGTACCCCAGACGAGACGATGGGATGGAGTCGCAGAAGCAAGTTCGCGTTGATAGCGTTAGTCCCGCAGTTAAGCTTCGAGGCCTGTAACTTATACCCTGTAACGTAGATTACGCCTCAAGTTGATTATGGAAATAGTCAACCACTGTATTCAAAGCCTCTGTCTGGTAGTTGAATAAGTACCTGGATGCTTCACAGAATTCTTTGGTATCTAAGATTACAACTGTGCATTCTGGCAATCATCGTACCTCTCAAGTCTTACCCTACAAATGGATATAGCTAAAGGGACGGACCCCACCATTTGGAGTCCATTTGTTTCCTATTGATTGCTTGCTTTTGCCTTTGTCAAATCCTGCATATCACTTCAATATCTGTTATTACCCATGGATGATTCCAAAATCGTTTCGTCAAAGGTTTCCTTAACCTTAGATCTGCCTCCTAGTTGTGTCCAGTTCTGTAAACTGCATCCTAACTTGTTCGTGGTAGGAACTTATAACCTCGAAAGAAATGAGGATGCCCAAAAAGAGACAGACCACGACGATGACACTGATGCTGCAAACGCGACTAAGACACTACAAAGCCGCAACGGGAGCTTGCTAGTCTTCAATGTCGTTGGCGACGACGTGTGAGTTCATTTCCCCGGGGCCCAATTGGTTGCTGACGCGTTTGATCATAGTCATCTCGTTCAGACGGTTTCGCAGCCTTCAGCTATTCTAGACCTCCGATTTCACCCTCAGAAAGGTAGAGAGGATATTATGGCTGTGGTATCTAGCACTGGGACACTGGCTGTATTCAAACTTGACCCGAAGGCAAATCCCTCAACTCCTTTACAGCATATATCAACAAGCAGATGTGACGATATTGCAGAAGATATCTTGTTCCTGCAATGCAGCTGGCACCCTGAGATCCCGCATCTGATTGGCATCACAACTTCGACAGGCTCTGCTCGAATCTTACATTTGGACGAAGGGTACCGCATCACTCAGAACTACACTGATCTCAGTATTGTCAATTCCCTCGAGGCCTGGTGCATTGCGTTCTCACCCGCAACACCAGTGTCAACGACGAATAAGGCCCAAGTCGCAGCTTATTGCGGTGGAGATGACTCCATTCTTCGCTACACGTCCTGCATCTGGGATTCAAGTGAGCCTGGTTCCCCGTGCGAAGAGCCATATTCGCCCGCAACCATCAAGGGGACACACGATGCAGGGGTCACATCAATTCTGCCACTCTTTCGACTCACAAAGAACTCAGGTAGAGTAGTCGTGACAGGCAGCTATGACGACCATCTACGTGTTTTCGTTATACACGATCTGCACGAATCATATGGAATGAAAAAGGTCGAGCTAGTGCTTGAGCAAAACCTAGGAGGAGGTGTCTGGCGATTGGATCTGGTTAAGACACAAGATTCGAAAGAGTCTATAAAAGTGAGGATCCTCGCTTCATGCATGCATGCAGGCGCAAGACTTTTGGACCTGGAGGTCAAGAACGACAAGGACTGGAGTTGCAGGATTCTGGCGAGGTTTGAAGAACACAAGAGCATGAACTATGGAAGTGACTTTATTCGGGATACTGAGCCTTCTGATGTTGTGCGGTGTGTGTCGACAAGCTTCTATGATAAACTGCTCTGTCTCTGGCAGTATGCACCAGCCAATAAATAGAACTCAGAGTAAAAGTGCACGTATTTTCATGTCACGAAATTATGTATAGCTCATTCTCATCACTTTTGGGAGAGCACCAGTTCAGATCAGTCTACAAATGAAGCTCACGGCTTTCGTTTGCTGAGTGGGCGAGATTCTGTAACTCAAAAGCACTTATCAGCACAGTCAATGAACTTCTGCCTTGGATGAGTAGGTACTCATGTTTTAACGTCTCAAATCTCGGGTCAAGAAATGTACGATACTTGTAACAGCAACTAAAGCAAAAGACGAAATTGGGTAGTGGCATGATGATCCTAGACCCCTCTATAGGAGTGACATGAGCTAGAATCAAAGCCTATCGATCTCCTTTTCAGCCTTGCAGCTTGGTTAATGGCCGGGCCCCTGTCATACAGGAGGTTAAACCACATAGAAACAAAGGACCCCGACACCGACTAGGGCCAGCTGTAAGTGTCACCGTGGACATACATGCATGAGGAGCTTGATACGTTGAACGGTAAGAAATAAGTTGACAGTTGTTCATCGGAGTCACATACTGATGCTCTCCTTGTGATGCTTCCGGGGAGCCTGAGCCCAAGACTGTACGGAGAGACCTATTGAGACTTCATAGCTGTATTTTCTTTTTCTGATTCAGCTCCCACTTCATCAGGGGCGATAGTTCTTTGTCGGTTCTAAATTCATGCATGAGGCGTGCAAGGTGAATTGTTTCAAATGGGGCTGCCCCGCCACCAATGGCTGGCTGGATGTACTAGGTAAGTTAGGTAGCTGGTCTAGGCTCGCTCACTGATCATTCTCGGCTCTCTTCAGCCTGAGAGCTCTGAATTTTAGCCCAACACTTAACTTCTCTCTCACCACTTTCACTTTCGCTTTGGCTTTCTCTCACCATCTCCAAAGCAACTTGATACTGTGACCAATCTTTTCTTCTCGGGTTATCTTCTGCTTCACCGCCTTTGTTGGGAAAAAATAATTTACTTTGCTTATTTGCATCGTGCCATCTGCCCCCAGTCACTTCCGGCTCTTCGCTTGCTTGTTCGCTATCTGCTTCATCTTGCTCCCGCCGTCGCAAACGAAACCCTCGAACCCGTGAACCCCAAACAGCAGACAACGACGATCCGCCTTTTTCTGCCTCTCTCCATGGCTGTGGCCTAGATATTTCTCCGTGACCAGATCTCCGTTACAAAGCCTGCGTAGAACAAGCGCTTTTGCTCCCGTGCTCTGCTCTGCTCTACTTTTCCGTGAATCCTACATTCGGCGGCCATCCATCGCTCGCGTATTGATCCGCCAGACGAAAGCACCAATATGGCAGCCAACGGGAGCTCAATTCCCTCGGCTGGCGCCGGTGGTGAATCTCAAGTGCTCACCAAAATCCACCAGGCTCTTGAGGTCGTCCATAGCCCGTACTCATCCAACGATGCCCGTAGGCAAGCCCAGGATTTCCTCGAGGAGGTCAAGGGATTCGACGAAGCCCCCATGCAAGGCTATAACCTCGCCTCCGACAAGGCTCAATCCCCCGTTGTTCGACACTACGCCCTCTCTCTGCTAGAGCATGCGATCCGGTACCGATGGTCAACGTACACCCTAGAACAGACGGATGCCCTGCGACAATGGGTATTAAGCCTTGGCCAAGCCATCGCGAAGGAGGATCCAGCTTATATCAGAAACAAGACCGCCCAACTCTGGGTTGAGGTCGCCAAGAGATGCTGGGGCGCTGAATGGATGGACATGGACTCTATGCTTTATCAACTATGGGGCATTGCCGATTCCCCAGTGCACAAGGAACTAGTAATGTTTGTCCTCGAGAACCTCTCCGACGAAGTCTTCACTGGGGATGACTCAGTTGTCGCCATGCGGGAAGGTGTGTTGAGTAAGGCTTGTGTTGAGATCTTTACTCCAACCGCGGTGTTGGTGGAGGCCTTCCCTAACCGTCAGCCTGGTCCTCCAGTGCGATATGGCGACGATGGTTGGCTAAGCCGTTTGTCCCAGTTTCTGGATTACTGTCTGAACCAGGCACCCAAGGACAACGAGGATGTCAAGATGTGCATACACAAGGGCCTATCTGTGTTCTTATCACTCATGCCTTGGGCAATCCCGAAAGCTATCTCCTCGGCTCGCTGCGTTGAGGTTATGTGCGCTGGGCTAGCTTCGTCTCAAGTCACCATTCAAAAGGTAAATTATTCGAATAGTACACGAATGACTTGTGCTGACCAAAACACAGGCTGCGTTGGAAGGTCTCCATGCTCTGTATTGCAGAACTAACTTCAACGACGAGGAATTTCGTGATCTAGTTGGCCCCATGTTCAGAATCGGGTCAATACAACTATGCAAACAGCTTTTTGAGTGGTCTGCTGTTGACCCTGAGGACGTTGACGAAGACAAATACCAGACACTGAAGAAGCTATCAGAGGTACGTCGAATGGCGCATAGCTCCAGAGCCATACTAACTTGTTGTGTAGATGTTGTCTTGCCTCGGGGACTACTTCGATAGGAAGTTTGCAAAATTGCCTGCTGATACCGCCAAGGAAGATTTCCTGGCGCTCCTAGTACAGGTTGTGCAGCATCAGAGCCTGATGGTCTCTATTCCTGTACTTGTCACATGGACGCGACTCCTCAGTAACCGCTTGATTGGCCCAACCGAGCTTGTTTCCGCCTTCATCCCACCCCTGCTGGAGACATGCAGTTCGAGATTGGTTCGATTCGAGAACCTCCCAGAGGATACTCAAGACGCGACATTACTCTACCTCATGGAAGATACAGATACGGTCCCTGAACGACACGCTTTCTTGGGCAACTACCGCCGATATAGCTCTCAGATCATTGAGGCTGTTGTCCAGTTGAAGTTGGTTGACGCGATACAACACATTCTCGGCCGCACAGAAGATCTTTTACAGCATCTCTATGACGGCCAGCCTCCCTTAGACAAGCAAAACTATTTTAAGCACTCCATGCCAGTCCTGCGCGTCGACGCTCAGTTCACAGTCATTGAGGCCACACTAAAAGGGTACTCCAAATGGCGCAAGCATAGGCCCCAAGAGCATCAGCAACAAGGGCCAGGAATTGAAGCCAATCTGGAGTCATGGTGCAATAAGCTGCTCGAAATGAGCTTTGAGGACCCCATGATTCGAAAGCGAACCCTTCAGCTGCTTGTCTACTTCTCTACTACCGCGCTCAATAAGAACGCTACGTTCATGTTGAAGGTATTGGAGCATATCTTGATGACCTGGCCAGCTCTCCAGCCAGAATACCGTGCTTTCAACGACGCTATCAAGGACCTGCAGGGTGAAAGCATGATCGAGTTGCAGCGATTGGCGTCAGAGATGCCAGATCATCTGCTGGTAAGTTGATTTGAACGTTGGTTCTGGGCCCTATTCTAATTACCTCGCAGGGTGTATATGACCAAATAGAGAGCAAAGTCAATGAAATGATGTCGTCTGGATCGCTTGACGAGAAGCGCTCCATTGCCTACAAAAGCTTTCTCTTCATCATTATGTCAGTATACATGTGACGGTACGCAGCTATAGCTCGCTAACCACTTGACAGACACCGAGCCACCAGTGTGGATGCTCAGGCCAAGATCCAGAAGCTACGTGAGTTCATTGATCCTGTAAAGGCTCAATGGCAGACCGATACCGTGCGCAACTCCCTGGAGTCGTACGCTAGCTTCTGTGAGTTATTGGGACTAGACAAGGCTCAAAACTACATGGCCAACCGCCGAGCACATGAGATCGCGGATTGGGGCTCGCAAGAACTCGACGCTGAAGGACTTGCTCTTCAGAACGAACTCGAGGAACGACTTAAGCTTCTTCCGCTTCGTTCGACGAAGAGCTTCCTAGCCTTCTCAGTTGAGAGACTCGATAAGTCGTCAGATGCTTTCAAAGCCTCGTACGCTCTCTGGCAAGACGGATTTCCAGAAATCTTGGCCGATCTGCTCAAGTTCCTGACTTACGCGCATGCGTCGCATAAACCTGACAATTGGGTCGGACTACCAGGTGAAGCAGTGTCGACTGTTCACCGAATTCTAAGCGATCGGTTTTGGCAAGCCGGAATTTCCGAGGGCAGCAAAGACGATTTCTATGCTCGCGTCATGGACAAGAAGAACACGATGGAAGGTCTCGCCTCAACTATCCGAGGATCCGTTCGATTTGTTCGCGAAACAGCCTATGCTATTATTTATTGCATGAGTCGCTTGGAACGGCAGTTTTACGGATTCGAGGGACTCTCTGCGCCTCTCTCCAAGGCCCTATTCTCAGACTCAGTTTGGTTGTCTACACACCAGCAGAGTAACTTGCTGAACCTGGTTAGATACCTTGTTGACGATTGTCCTGTTGACTGCCGAGAGCATTTTCTTCCGCAGCTACTGGCGGCATGCTTCCAACAAATGGATGCCAAGATTAACGGGGAATGGGAAAAGATGCAGCGCCAGCAGGAGGTGGCTGCAGATGGCGAGGCCGGTCTCAAGGAAGAGATGAAAGCGGAAAGTATTCTTCGACAAGTAACCTACACGGCGGTATTGATGGTGGCCGACTTTCTCGATCCCACCAAACCTAGTAAGTCCAAGGAGGTTGCAAGTTTGTCAAGAGGAAATGAACTAACAGTCTCCTTAGATGGGCCAATTCAGAATGGAGACAGCAATTCGGGAGTTGACCAAGACAAGGATTACCCTAGCCTTAGGAGGTTCTGTCTCACTCATCAGGAGGTTGTAGAGCCTTTACTTGTCTTCTGCACACATGGTATTCACGTGCGAGACAGCAGGTGCTGCACCATGATTCTGCGATTGTTCATATCGTTGGTTCCCGAGTTTCATCTCGTGGATGGCCAGTTGCCCAAGTCTGTGCTACAAAGCCCAATGGAAGCACATCTTGCGACAGATAGGTTTCCTATCCCGTCAGCAATCTCTTCGGCTATTCGGGAGTATATCTCGCTCGATGTGCTGAAAGCCTGCATCACATCGTTCCATGAGCCTTACTTTGTGGAACTACAGAAGGACTTGGCCGCGCTGATCGCAACAATTGTTGTCTACTATAGCCCCATCACGCCGTCACCTAGGGACGTACTTCTCTCACTACCCAATGTGAGTATAACGGATCTGGACCGGCTGTCGACGTACATGGCCAAGCCTGGTGCGCATACTCGCCAGCAGCGAGCTCTGGTTTTGGATCTGCTCAAGGATCTCAAGGGTGTGAGTGTGTCCGAGATGGGTAAACTCCCCAAGAGCAGTGGATTTGGTGGCTCCAATCGCAAGAGGACGAACCGAAGCAAGATGGCGCAGCAATTCATGAGCGACCAGCAGTCAGGACAGGATTCGACGCGTTCAGGTATGAATGTGGCTCGTCGGGCTACACCAGATGCACTGGAGGGCGTCTCGAATCTTTTTGAGGGTTAAGGATGCCATGAGGGAGAGACTATTGCCTCAGAGGCAGCAATACCTTTAGAAATCACCCTTGCAACATGAGAGTGAACAGTACCAGAGTTAGACCCGCGAGCGGAAAAGAAAAATAGATGGAAGTTGCAGATTCAGGCCAAGGGCCCTCATCGTCGAGCTTCAGGGGCGGTATAATAGAGATGGGTGGTTAAGGGGGGGACAATAGACAGGACCGGACTGAGGAATCTGGAATGAATCATCAGGAGTATTAGAGCGAGCATAGGTCAGACTAGGATGAGAATTGACATGTTTTACTTGATGTTATTTGACTTGCTTGCATATTGAGGTTGACGCATAATCATGCCATGTTGCATTGGCTCCGTCTGCAACTTCTGAGGCCGGCTGTATATAATGCGCAATGGCATTGCGTATACAGCCACAATCAGCAATAATCAGTCCATTGCGAAACATTTCTTATAGCTCAGCTATGAATCTGGAAACCGGTGAGTACTCTACAGGGCTCGGTAGTGCCAGGGCCGGCCCGGGACTTGAAAGCCATCCCGGCTCATGTTTTCTCCTTTTGAATAAGTGACCGAATTTTGTATGACGTCGGCTGTTTTCTGGACTCTGAAGAGATAAACTTATGGGGGTTCACCGGGGAAAGCATCCGATAAAACTGCAAGGTCAATCACACGTTCGATTGGAGAAGAGGGTGGCATCCTTGCGTGTGAGGCTTATGGGTTCATAACCGGCGGTGGCAGTGTTGCAGGATCCGGAGATTAATGAGCTGACTTTGAAGTGGCAAAGCGAGGAGGAAATTCTGCTTTGCGTTTCGACCACTTTCACGTGCCTTTGCCTCTCTTCAAATGAAGATAGTACTGTTTTGAGGCCCTCGCCGGCGCCGGTTGATTCTCCGGGACCGGGCCGTAAGTACTAAGTTAGGTAGCTTGCGTTTTAAGCCGGCACATTCTTGGACATCAAGTTCCGGCATAAAATCAGGGACTTCCCACGATTTCTCTAGAGACTTTTGCGACTGAATTGATGTTCATTTTTCCCCATTTGGCTCCGTCATAATTGATACCAGTGATTGAGTGAATATGGATACAATAGAGTACCGGCCAACGTCCCCTATCCGGAAGACACATAGAAGAACGACAAGAGCGTGAGTGGTGCTCTATGTCCTTTCAAGCCAAAGATATGAACTGATTGGTTCTATGCAGATGCGATGATTGTCGCCGACTCAAGGAGAAATGTATCGGCTCCATGCCCTGCGACAGATGCAAATACTTTGGCAGGCCTTGTCAGTTCAGCGATAGATTCAGAAGAAGCCGAGTTTCTCGTACAGCAGTACAAACAGTCAATGCATCCGCGGTGGAAGTAACGTCTGGGGATGTCTCTGTGTACTTTGAGGCGGAACGTATCCAGGCGCTAGAGCATATCGTGAGACATTACACAGGGCTCGAAGAGTTCAGCAGGGAGAGGCTTGAGAACGTCATCGCAGATCTTTTGCCTCTACGTAATCAAGAGGAGGGTTTGGTAGATATGATTGAGGTTGAGAACGATGATGTGAGTTGTGATGGGAGGGATTGCGAAAGTGTAGGTACAGCGTCAACGGGTAGGCCTTGTTCTGCTTCGAACGGCGTATAACCAGGGCTAACTTGGTGTCAGCAAACGTAGAGTTCTCTCACCACGAGTTCTCTCGTCGTGTGCAGAAGAAGGTCAAAGATGAGCTGGCCGACTTTGAGTTCGAGGTAGGATGTCCCGTCCCACAGGTCAACCGGCGTTCACTAACAACACGTTCAGGACTCAGGGACAGACACAGCAATCAGCGACAAAGCAAATGCTTCTCAGCTTCTATCTAGAGACGCAGCAGTGCTTGAAGCTGTGTCTTTGTTCCCACCAGCTCCCTCTGCACTGACCCTCTTGCGAGTATTCTTTGAGATCGCCCAAACAAACTATTTCTATACCGACGAGGAGGTACTTCGACAACGCCTTGACCAATTCTACTCTTGTCCTACACGTGTGGGTAGCGAAGATGCCCCTTGGGTCTCTGTCGCGTTGATGGTCTTTGCGCTCGGAACACAATTCTCGCATCTCTGTCAGTCTTCGGTTAGGGGCTCAAATCGAGAGCTCATGAGAGATGCCCACGATATCTGTCAGACCATGGATGATACTATTGCATCGACATTCTACAGAAAGGCCACAAACCTGATCCCTGATATTCTAGGTATGGGCTGCATCGAAAGCGTGCAGGCCTTTCTCCTCTTCGGCATATATGTCCTTCCTATCGACCCAGCTGGCTTGTCTTGTACCTATTTCGGAATTGCGATTAAGGTGGCAACACAATTCAACCTTCATCAGAAGACTCTCCGAGATCTATCTCCTCGAGAAGTAGAGCTGCGGAAAAGAGTTTGGTGGACTGCCTATGCTCTCGAACGGTATGTTCAGACTCAGCGAAACCTTTTACAAGACCTAACATACAACAGCCGGATTTGCATCTTGCACGGACGGCCTGTTTCTATTTCAAGACTAGATATTGATGCTAATCTGCCAATTGATTTGGAAGAACTGCAACCCAAGGAGAGAATCAACACTTTTCAAAACAACATGGCCATGCTCAAGCTGACTATCTATATGGAGGATGCTCGAGATGGAATGTAAGCAATATTAACTAATCCCATTTGAAATTGAAAGACTAACAAGACACAGTCTGGCTTTAAAGAACAAAGACAAAGTGCAGAAAGTCAAAGCATTTCAAAACATGGTCCAACTCAAGGAGAGGCTCCGCAGTTACTGGCAAAGTCTCTCCGAGGACACCTTTTGTCGAGACCTGACACCTGGCAAACCACTATTCCGATCCAACATACACCTCTTCTTAACATATAATTTGATCCATATCCTGATTGGTCGATCTTTTATCCTGGACGAGCTGAATATCAACACCAAGGACACGCCGAGTGCAGAGTGGACGAAACTCAGAAGCGAACTAGTCAACGACTGTATCAACAGTGCCGTCACCACTATTCACCTTTGTCAAACTCTGCATGATGAGACTAGTCTTTCAAAATCTTCTTACACGGAGTTCAGCTCCTGCTGCGCTGCTGTTCTCGCCCTGGTAGCAAAATGTGTCTCGGACAGGAGCAGCAGTTGTAAGGATGCCTGCAAGAAAGGGATGGAATTACTGCGAGAAATATCAACCGGTGTCTTTTCGACAAGTGGTGAGAAGCGCACAGTAGAAGGGCTAGAGATTGCTTTCGACAGACTGAACCACGCAAAGAGGCGAGACAGCAACGGGAAGCTCGACGAAGATGGATATCTCCAGTTTCGAAATTGGGTAGCCATGCAGCAGATTATTCCAGGAGGATCGCTTCAGCTGCCTCGACAGGAAAATTCTATGCTGGACGTTTTTGGAGGGCCTTTGCTCACGTATCAATGTTCTGGTATGGCCGGAGGTTACAAGACTGGTTGCTCTCTGCCTGCGCGTACGGAAGTGATTTCATTGCCAGATCTAGGAGATTGGTTTGATCATGGGTTTGAGCAGCCGGTGGCTTAATGGTATATGACTTACGACTTACGATATTGAATTCCATTTTAACTATGTACACGAAAGCTTTACTACGTTACATCTCTCAAAGTTCTCTCACGGAAGTAAGGCCATCGCCAGGTATAACGACTTGTATCTGATTCAGCTTAATTGTCGCTAACTATCCTGGCTCCTAGCTGGAACATTCAAGACTGGCACAGTACACCAGTCTGCAACTACGCCCTCAAAGCCACATTGATAAGATTCAATGACTCTTATTAAACAGCCACTTAGACATTTCTGAGTTGAACAGTGCACAGATCAAGTACAAGTCAATGCTAGAAGTTGGATAATTTTCCCTGGATGACCTGTATTACATGATGTATGTCAAGTTTAGGCTCGTTTACTTGCTATCAAGTTCCTTATCCAACGCATCAGCCATATCTCCAAGCGTGGCAAACTTCCAATCATACAAAGGATCCTTTGTGTTGCCCATACTAGCTCCAGGTCTCTCAATCCAACTTGATTTGATGCCCATCTGCTTCGCAGGCTGATGATCATGAAACTGGCTCTGCGCAGTCTGCAGCACCCTTTCCTTGGGAATACCAAACTTGGCCTCTACTTCCCGCAACATATACTTGAAATTGTTCAGGTTAGGTTTGTAACTTCCAACGTCTTGTGCAGTGATGATCAGGTCGAAGGGGGTGCCCTGAAGAGGACCTGCATTGCTGCCGGAGAAGGATTCGCGGTCGACATTAGACAGAACAACGAGCTTGTAATGTTTGCCGAGACGACGAAGAGCATCAACAGTATCAGGAAATGCTGGCCATGATCCAATTGAATCGCCAAAGGCCTTGTTTTGTTCAGATGTGGGCTTAGAGAAGCCGAGACGCTCTGCAACATGAGGGTGGATGGTAGTCAGAAGCTCGGAATACTTCATGTCAGGAGTCTTTTCCTGTTGAGCAACTTCAGCCTCATGATAGATCTTCAAGAGATCTTCGCGAGATATTTCGGCATTGTTGGACTGGAGAAGGGGCTTGAGGCCATTTAGAACGCCAGTCTCCCAGTCAATGAGAGTACCGTAGACGTCGAAGGAGAGGAGGCCAAAGTCGGAGATCTTGCTCATTTTTAGGTGAAGGTGAAGGGGTTTTCTTGATGATGATGATGATGATGATGATGACCGAATGATGCTTGTCTATTGTCCTCAGATGACAGTATTTTACTGGTAATTTATAGGGAGAGCACGCCCTGTAGTTGACTTAGGACATTGATGAGATAATACAATCGTTTGCCGGTGCCGGTCTAGGGTGGCCGAATCGGGATGCCGGTCGGCACACCGAAAGTGGAGAAGGACGTGCCGGTGAAGCCCGGACTGCTTGATGAGAATATCCATTTATTCCGGTATTGTCCTGTACAGAAACCGTCAAATTTGATCTATAGATTGAAGCTTTTGGGAATAGCTCATGACTTGAACTATTTACTTGTGGTTAAGAAGACG